TGGGGGCGCCCGGTCCACCGCGCCCGCCCATCGGGGACCCGCCGGGCCCTGCAGACGCCGGAGCTGCGCGGCGGCGCCGGTGCTCGGTTTGTAGGCAGTGTAATTAGCTGATTGTGCTGCAGCGCTTGCAATCACTAACTCCACTGCCATCAAAACAAGGCACAGCATCGCCTCCGCCCTGCGGAGCCCGCGAGGAGCCGCTGCCCGGGAGCCGCGGGCGTCGTCAGAGAGAGCGCGAACCCCGACCCCGCCGCCTGCCGGCCGGGGGTCGCCAGGCCGGAGCGCTGTCCTGCGGCCGTGCGCCGAGAGCCCTGCTGTGACCGCTGTTCCCGCCGTGCGCTCCGGCTCCCTGCGCTGCTTTCTTGCTCGTTGGTGGGGGGTCGCCCAGACGGCAGCTTAGCCCGCGGTTTGCCCATCGCTCCCGAGGGAGACGCCAGCCTGCGGCTGCAGTTTTGGGGTTTTTGTTTTTTGCTTTCATGTGCTTGTTTAGTCTAGTTACTAGGCAGTGTAGTTAGCTGATTGCTAATAGTACCAATCACTAACCACACGGCCAGGTAAAAAGACTGCGATGCATCCAAATGGGCCGCTCCTATGATGTCACTGTCGGGGAGAGGGCTATGGGAATATGCTGATACTATCCCGTTCCTGTGTATCACTTCCTCAGCCAAGAGGGGAAAAAAAATATTTAGCTGCTTAAACATACTATACGTGTATGTGTATTTCTTTTTCAATATTCCTTCAGGGTCTTAAGTGAAATAATTTTTAGACATATTAGGAGAATATACATTTTTCCTTAGCTGACGGATCTGTAATGAAGACTTTTTTTTTCTTGTTTTTTTTCCGGTACCAGGAATCGAACTCACGACCTTGTGCTTGCCAGGCAGGCCCTGTGCCGCTGAGCTAAATCCTCAGCCCCTAATGAAGACTTCTGATTGTCAATTCTTTGAATTATCTTTCTGTGAGACTATATTGTTAGTGATATTTTGAAAAAAATAAAGTGCAGTGTAGATATAAATTGTGGCTGTTGCCATGTGTCCAGTTCCTTTCACTTGGCTTCATGATGGCCATCTTAGTTTCTGCAGCAGTAATCACATTTTTTTTTTTTTTTAAATCTCTGAAATGGTTCAATTAGTCCTAGATTTTTAAAAAAATCTCCTGGGAAAGCTACTCACACACACTTTTTAAAGATGTTATAAGACACACTAACAAAATTTTTCATGAAGGAATTCCATGTTCTCACTACATATACCCTTTTAAGTAATCATTTAAAACTTTTGCGCTATAGGCAACTTTTGGCAGAAATGATTAATAAATGCAGTTACAATTTAAATGCAGCTTGCTCTAAGATTTATCATAAAAGAGCAGAGGGAAAAGAGATCAAACTACATACACGAGTACCTATAGGACCAGTTCCAGCCTCTAGCTCTGATGGGCTTCCTTGAGTCTCCGATTACAGGACTCAGAATGTCCACAAGAGTGAGTGCTAAGCCACAGTCCTGTCTGGAAGAGGAGATTGGGGCCATGGAGACAAGGACTTTAAAGTTTGTTCAAATATCTTTTGGGGGGCGTGGGAGCAAGTGGAAGGCGGAAGTTGTGTTAGAGGCTAAAGTGCTCCCCCACTGACTCTGACAGCACGCGCCAAAAGTTGTTTGGATCCGCGCATCTGACTCCCAAGACTGAGCAAGCACTACACCTGCTATCACCACGGAAGTAGGCTTCAGCGTGCTGGAACCCCAACATCTACAGAACAGACTGTGGGCCTCCAGCGGTGACTGTTAGCGGCTTCTTGGACAGGGAGTGCTGGAAGGAGGGGGGAAGGAGCTTGGAGAAGCGTCCTGAGTTGCCATGGAAACGGGGCCCGGCTCAGATGTCAGCTCCGACCACGAAATTTGCTCTCCAGGATTACTGGTGTTTGCTGGCTGCTCCGAACAGGATAGCAGCCTGGCTAAGCAGTTCTGGCTCCGGGCGTCGATGTCTCCCACTAACGAATCTCAGCTGATGCTGACAAGAGGGAGCAGTCAGCGTTTGCCTGTTGCGGGCTCTAAGAGTAATGTCGCCGGTGAGTACAAAACAGCTACTTCCTGGTGGTTAATTTCTACTGCATCATAATCAACCTGCAAGTACTAGATCTTCTTCCGGAAGACACTGCCCAACCTAAGTCTAAAATAAGACTCAAGGGGCTGGGGATTTAGCTCAGCGGCAAAGCGCCTGCCTGGCAAGTGCAAGGTCGTGAGTTCGGTTCCCGGTACCGGAGAAAAGCCAAAAACAAACAAAATTAAAAAAAAAAGACTCAAATGTCTGACAGGTATACACTAACAGTAATAGCTATATGCAGATACATACACTGTATAAATAGTTCCTGAAAAATTCCAGCAATCCTTCACCCCACCCCACCCCTGAAAAACAGATTGGAGGTATTACTGTCAACGTCTAAAGCTACTTCTTAAGTGTCCCTTAAATTATGACATTTATCTGGGAAACTGTGGAATAATCAATTTAAGGAAAATGGTATGTGTTGGACATTAAGGACAACAGTTTACAGAATTGAGTTAAAACTTGAAAACCCTAGAGAAAGTCAAACGCAAATTAATTTTAGGAACCAAGTTCATTGGCTGCTAAGCCCTTAATGAGATGGGAAAACTAGGATGTGAAAACTATTATATTTATAGATATAGAAAGTTCAAATAGCATTAATATTCTGTCTTTTCTTTACTTCCCCTTTGTACTTTTAAGAGAAAAGTCACATCCAGCCTTCTCCCTCTGAGAATAACAGTAAGTACCAAGTTTAATGCCTTTCAACATCTGGATTCTTAGGTTTTTCAGGAAATAGGAATAAATACAAAGGTACAACTTTGCATTTTGGTATAATATTCTGAATCACATACGTAAGACCTTACCTCGGGGACCACACAAGGTTATCCATAGACCAATCCTTAAATTTCTGTAACAGGTTGAATACAAAGGTAGAAATTAGAATCTCTGATTCTTTATTTATGTTCTCTTGAAAGACATTTTCTTGTCTCTGTTGAGGTTTATTCATCATCTAAAGAGATTAGAGGGTCTGTGCAGCTACTGCTAATTAATAAGACAGTTTTCAATTATTTATGAATCTGGTTATAAGATTTCATGACACAATATGTATTTGTGTTTACCTCCCTGCACTTTTAACCCTTACCCAATTTTATATCAATGCTGTTACAAATTATGATAAAATTATTTTAGATTGACTTTATTCCTCTAGAGAATACTGATATCATTGCTGAAACCCTAAGGATTCAGGAAGCTGAGGAGAAAGAAAAGTACCTCCAAAAGGTGGGCCAACATTTCCTGACATCTGATTTTCATTAAATTTCTAAATAATCCTCATTAATTAAAAATTATTAATGTATTTATAGGTGCTAAGGATACTCTTTAACTTACATATATAAAATGTGCTACTTTGGGTTCATTAACTTAGAAAAGCTTTTATGATAATTTGAATGGAAAATTTTAAAATTCTATTGAAGCGTGGCGAACCTCAGTCTCTGCAAAATTCCAGGAATGTATAGGAACAATAGAATCAGAGAGAAATGGAAAAAGATTCACACTTTTCAGTAATGCCTCAACTATACTATTGTAAGAACAAAAATATTACAAGAACAGGAAAAATCACATAGAATTGATTGGTTTTAATTGACCAAAATCGAATGAGTGGAATGACTCTGTCCTCTAGGCCTGTTCTGACTAAAGTAGCTACATTAGTGTAGTCACATCAACAGAGCATATGGCTCTTCTTGGCGACAGTCCTTGTCCACTTTCTATGATATAGGCACAGCTTGTAACTCAGCAAATAATAGTGTGATTTATAGCAACCTTTTGTTTGGTTCCTAGATTATCTTCTATTCCTAAATTGGTCCTGTACTACCCAAGCAAAGAGAGATTTGTTTTGGCCTAATGTCTTTAATCACTGGACACATTGGCAAACTGTGAATGATGAATCGGGAATTCTGCATAAGTTACAGAACAAGGCGTTTAAGTTTGCTGATCATAATGATTCACTCTGTGGACTACTGGTAATCCCTTCAAATGAACGGAGTGATTAAAAATAACATTTTCTTCTCTTTTTAGGATATTATGTACTGAAAATTTATACACGGACATTTTTCTTTTTCTTTTCTACTGGTGCTAGTACTGGTACTTTTTCCTTTTCTGGTACTGGAGAATGAACCCAGAGGTCCTCTAGCACTGCTCTATGGCACAGGTGTGCTATCGCCACCCCTTTTTATTTTTTCTTTTAAGACAGGATCTTAGTAAGATGCCCAGGCTGGCCTTGAATTTATGATCCTCTTGCCTCAGCCTCTTGAGTAGCTGGGATTGCAGGTGTGTACCACCAAACCCAGCTATGTTAAGACTATGTAAGTGTTTTTGAAAGCCTAATTTTCAACGAATTAAAAAATCATTAAAAATCAGCTTCCTTGGTGCTTTAAGAATTTAACTTTTATTATATTTCATTATAGGATAGGATTAGAAATAAAAGGTCAAAGTCTCACTATTAATTATTTTATCAGCTTTTGTCCAGCAATAAGACAATGGTATAAGTTACAAGTGGATATAATACAGACTGTGATATTAATATTTTTAAAACCCTCATCTTGGGTCCTTCTATTAACTTATTAACCATTCAATTAATCCCACAGATATTATTGAGAGCCTGCTGTGTGCAAGTACTAAAATCTGCAATTTAAAGATAAGACGTGGCCCCAGTATCAAGGAGCATATAGTATGGTGGAGTCAGTTAATTAAAGTTAACAATGAAGATATACTATTATGTTGCATATATGCATGCATTACCTTAACAGCACACTAAACAACATCAAAGTCAAGCTTAAGGAATCAAGAAACTTTCCCAAAGGCACTGAGTTTTGAAGGATGTAGAGCTTGTCAGACAGAGAACATGTAAAGCAATTCTCCAGGAGATGGTATTTAACTTCCTAACATCCACATATGGTTGTCCTGCTCTTCTATCTTCATTTTTACCTCACGGCCCCTACTTTCTACAGGATCAAGAGGAGTTGCTTAGCATGTTTGAGTTCCTTTTCACCCTGACCATAACCAGACTATTCTATCCTCTCTTCCTGTATGCCTTCTACACACACACACACACACACACACACACACACACAGTATACTTGGTTCTCAACCACTTAGGCCAAAACACACTGTTTACTCTTTCCCATATGTGCCACTGAAGTGGTAAATACATAAACTATATTTTTGCTATGTCTAAATATGAACAATATTTGACAAGTTGTACATTAAGCTAAGGGGTCCTGCAGTACAATGTAGAAGATGATTCTAATTGCAAAGATAGAAGGTAAGAGGCCTAACAAACAAAAAGCCAGCAGGAAAGAGACAATATTAACTAAATTATGACTTCTAAATATATAGGGAAAAATTGTACCATGTAGTACAAACACGACTATGTTAGCTTTCCTTTCTATAACAAAATGCCAACAACAATAAACTTAAAAAGAGGAAAGGTTTAGTTTAGCTCACAGTCTTATAGGTTTCTATCCAAGCTGAACAATGTGTTAAACCTCTGTGGTGCTCAGTTTCTTCAAATATTAGTGGAAAAAATTATTTTTAAAATACACCTCATAGAGTTGATATACAGTATATAAACACCTGGCAAATAAATCATCAACAAATGCCCTCTATCAGGACAGAGTTATGTCTTATTTGCTTAGCTCAATGGCTTTCTGGTTATTGAAACTCAAAAACCATTTACTGATTGAATAAATGAATGCATAATTGAACTAATTAATGGGAGAATGAATGTTTCATACAGCAATATTTCAATTTGGGTCTGTTTTCTTGTTTGTTTATATATTTGTATAGTTCTGAGGACTGAACCCAGGGCCTCATATATGTGGAGTACTACTCTATCACTGACTTACAATCTCAGTCCTGTGATATTTCAATCTTGGTTAGCCTTTTCCACATAGGTTCATCTGGCAAAATTTTTCTAAATTAGTAATTTTTGCAAGAATAATCCCAGAATCTAATCTGTTCAAGCATATCTCCTTTTTTTTTTTTTTTTTTTTTTTTGGTCTTTTTGAGACAGGGTCTCACCAGGCAGTTCAGGCTGGCCTTGAGCTCACTTTGTAGCCCAGGCTGGCCTCGAACTAGCAACAATCCTCCTGCCCCAGCCTCCCGAGTGCTGGGATTACAGACGTGCAATCTCCTTTTTTTTTAATGTTACTTGTATCTCATGGATCTGCTTATGATGGGAGGAAATTTGATTCCCTTAGTTATGGAAACAATTTTTTGATGCTACTGTCTTTCTTAGTCTGCAGTGCTCCCTTAGCATTGTTACCACTGTCATCCAATAAAGTTTACCTTGATGTTAGAAAGTAAATGGAGGGTGGGGAGAATAACTTTTTTACCCAATAGAATATTTACAATGATCTATTTAAGAGAAGAGAACTTCCTAAATGTTTCAGACGTATACATTGGTAAGTACATCCTAGATATAATCTTCATCTTAAAATGTGGAAAACCATTTTCCATGAATTTTCCTGGGGTTCTATTAATCCACATTCTCCTTAAAATTAAAGAAAATCTAGAAATTTATTTTCTGCCTCTCTGAGAGGCATCCTTATAGCCCTTTTTCTCTGACAGATATTGACTTTTCAGTTGTTGAAGCTCTTTTAAACTTTAATGTTATATCAGAGAATATCTTCTAGGTATACATTATACATGCTTTTGGTTAGCGGGTAAAATGCTATTAATCACAACTGCTATTTCTGTGATGGATACCTGTGGCAGGAAATCAAAAGCAATTGAGTCTGTCAAGATAAAATGGCTTACTGTGTCCATAAAGGAAACCTTATAGCACTATACTGGGCCGTTATTCTTCCTTTGAGAGTTCTAAAGGAGTCTGAAAACATTATAATAAATGAATAGTCAGCTAATTCTTTGAAATCATAAAACCAATTTGCTTTTTAGTTTTGCCACCTTTAAGAAAGCTTTTTAGATGATTATCTCCTTATGAAAAGAATTATAAATAATTCATTTGCTGAGAGAAGAAAGAGGTCAGAGCAATCATTCATATACATACAAATCACTCATATATATACGACATATTTGGAAACATGGTCCATCCGAAATTAAAGTTTTAACATTAGTGAATAGAAACTAAAACTTCTTCCAGGGAAAGTGTAAAATCTACAGAACGGCATCTCCAATAGACTCCCTATTGGGAAGGAAGTTTTAGTCTGTCCTTGCACATCCTATATAGTCTATACTGACCATGGTAGAAGCTCCTTCAAGTTTGGTATCTGGAACCTGCTGGAACAACAAACATGTCATTTCACAGTGACATTCTTAGAAGAAGAATATTAGAATCTTCATGAAAGTATTTTTAGGCCCTAAGGGGTAAAAGTAGAAAACTTTTAAACATTATTATCTATTAGCCTACACTTTCAGAGTATTGAAAGAGGTTCTTAAAATCATTATGTCAGCTTCCAGGAACCAAAGGCATAGAGAATTAAAATTCCTGTATCGTTGCCAGGATATCTGAAAAAAGAAAATCCTCTTTTGTGTCAAAATGTGCGCAACTGACTGCAAAAGTGGGCATATGAAATGAATAGACACTTCTCAGATGAGGAAATACAAATGGCAGATAAATATATTTTAAAATGTTCAACATTACTGATCGTTCGAGAAATGTAACTTAAAACAACACTGAGATTCCATCTCACTCCAGAAAGAATGGCTACTATTAAGAAACCAACCAATAACAAATGCTGGTGGGGCTGTGGGGAGAAAGGAACCCTTCTCCACTGTTGGTGAATGCATAGACTGGTGCAACCACTGTGGAAATCAGCGTGGAGATTCCTCAAAAAATTAAAACTAGAGGTTCCGCACAAGGTCGTGAGTTCGGTTCCCGGTACCAGAGAAAAACCAAAAAAAAAAAAAAAAAAAACTAGAGGTTCCATTTGACCCAACTATTCCCTTTCTTGCTATCTTCCTGAAAAAATTAAAAACATCATACCACAGTGATATATGCACACCCATGTTTATAGCAGCACAGTTTGTAGTAGCTAAATTTTAGAAACAGCCCAAATGCCCATCAACCAATGAGTGGGTAAAGAATATGTGAATTTTTTTATACAACAGAGTACTACTCATTCATAAAGAAGGATGAACATTTCTAAGTAAATGGATACACCGTAAGACCATACTCAAGTGAAGTAAATCAGACACACATGTAAATACCACACCATTTCTCTGGTGTGAGAAACTGAAAGTGTAAATAAAGACCAAAATGT